GTAGCTGGGATTATAGGCATGCGCCACCACACCCGGCTAATTTTCTATTTTTAGTAGAGACAGGGTTTCTCCGTGTTGCTCAGATTGGCCTGGAACTCCTGACCTCAAGTGATCTGCCTGCTTCGGCCTCTCAAAGTGCTGGGATTACAGGCATGAGCCACCGCGCCCGGCCATTTTTGTATCTTTAGCAGAGCTGGAGTTTCGCCATGTTGGCCAGGTTGGTCTCGAACTCCTGGCCTCGGGTGATCCGCCCGCTTTGGCCTCTCAAAGCGCTGGGATTATAAGGGTGAGCCTCTGCAACCGGCCTGCCGTACATTTTTAATAGAAGAAAAGACGAACTCGAAAGGCGGCGGACTAAAGCTCTTCCCATTCATGAACTCGCACCCGGATTCAGAATTCTCCCCTGAAGACCCTGCCGCGGTTCCTGTACAATCTGAGAGAGACGCAGCGCTGCGGGTGCAGAGCTGCCCAGAGAGGGATCCAGGCCAGGGCACAGTCACTACGCAGGGAAGAGACAGGACGCCCGGGGACCCGGCTGTCAGCGCAGCCGCCATCTTATGGCTGAAGGGGACTAAGGCCGAGCTGGGCAAGGAGAACTCGGGGCGCAGATTGTGGAGCTGACTGCTGGGAGGCCTGAGTCCGCCACGGCCACTTCCCACTGGTTTTTCAACCAGTCCCTCCCTCTCTCTCTGGGTGTCGGACCCGGCACTCTCACCATTTCTAGGCTTCCAGGGGGTCCTGGCGTCTTAGCTGTGGATCTCTCAAAACCTGCAGGTCACTGGGCCTCAGAGGATGGGCCTCTAGGAGCAGAGGACACAGAGAAGTGAAGACGAAACCTGAAGCTCCGGCTCCAGCAAGAGACAAAGGCCCCGCCAAATTCCGGAAGCCGCCCTGTCCTCTCCAGCTGCGTGCCTGATTGGACGATTCCAAGCTTAGCGTCTCTGATTGGAAAACGTTTAAGGCCCCGCCCCTTCAGGACTTGAGTGACAGAATATGTGACCAAATGCTGGGCGGAATGAAGAAAGAGTGACAGCCTAAGCTGCAGCGTTTTCAGGCAGGGCTTGCTTCCTGAGCTGAGCCAGGCCCACTCCAGAAGGTATTTGCATTTAAACTCGTGTAGAAGGTCTCATGTATTTATAAATAATACACTATATGGCTATTCACAAATGAAAAATATATAATAACAATTATTTTTAAATTTCAGCTTTTATGATCTTCCTGGCTTCCGGCATTTGAACAAGCAGACTGAGATTTCGAAAAGGAGGCAATCCTCTGAAATCAAATATAAGCCACATCTGAATTTTAAATTTTCTAGTGGCCAAACTTTAAAAAGAAACAAGAAAAAGGTGGATTTGATTGTAACAA